AGGCGGTTCCAGTAGGAGAGCATCTGGACAACAGTGATCACAACATCATTAGGTTTGAGTAATTATGGAAAGGGACAAGGAGCAATCAAAGGTGAAGATACTCAACTTGAAGAGGGCTAATTTCAATGAGTTAAAAAGGGACCTAGCCAAGGTGGATGGAATGAAAAATTGGCAGGTAAAACAGCTAACGAGCAATGGCAAGCCTTCAAGGAGTTAATTCGGGGACAGAAAAAATACATTCCCACAAATGGGAAAGGTAGGGCATCCAAATCTCCCTGGATGACTAAGGAAATAGGATTTAAAATAAAACATAAAAAGGAAGCTTATGATAAATGTCAGGTCCAAAATACAGACGATAATCAAATAGAATATAGAAAGTACAGAGGAGAACTGAAAAAGGAAATAAGTGGAGCAAAGAGATTGTATGAAAAAAGATTAGCAGGTAACATAAAAGGGTATTTTAAGGTACTTTAAGGTATTTTATAAGAATAAAAGGTTAGTCAAAGGTAGGGTGTGTACAATTAGGGACCAAAGAAGAAATCTTCTTTTGGAGGCAGAGGGCATAGCTGACGCAATGAATGTGTACTTCACAAAAGAAGAGGATGCAGCCAATGCCACAGTATCAGAGGAGAGGGTATAGAAATTGGATAGGATAAGAGTAAACAGAGAGTAGGTACTTGAAAGTTTCACGGAGGTCAAGGTAGATAAGTCACCCGGTCCGCACGGGATGCATCCTAGGTTACTGAGGGAAGTAAGGGTGGAAATAGCAGAGCTCTGGCCACAATGTTTCAATCCTCCCTGGATACCAGAATGGAGCCCACATGGATCCAGACCTGGCTGGGAGACAGAAAGCAGGGAGTGGTGGTGAATGGTTGTTTTTCTGACTGGAGGGAAGTGTGCAGTGGTGTCCCCCAGGGGTCAGTATTGGGACCACTGATCTTTTTGATCTATATAAATGACCTGGACTTGGGTATATGGAGTACAATTTCCAAGTTTGCAGATGATACGAAGCTAGGAAAAGTAGTAAACAGTGAGGAGGATAGTATCAGACTGCAAATGGACATAGACAGACTGGTAAAATGGGCAGAAATGTGGCAGATGAAGTTTAATGTGGAGAAATACAAAGTGATGCATTTTGGGAGGAAGAATGAGGAGAGGCGATATAAGCTGATGGTACAATCTTAAAGGGGGTGAAGGAACAGAGAGACCTGGGGCTTCATATAAGTAAATATTTGAAGATGGCACGACGGGTAGATAAAGCTGTTAAAAAAGCATACGGGATACTAGGCTTTAAAATAGAATGGTTCTGCCAAGCAACAAATATGGTAAATCAATCTATTTTTAAACCTTGTCAAATAGAATAGATTTATAATAACTCAATCTGACTGGGTTCATAACCTATAAATGCAAAAATTTAAAGAGAGGTATAAAGCATTAGCTGTTCCGCTGTTTTAATTTTCTTAAAATTATTTTCTTAAAAAATGCACGTAACAATTCTACTAGCTTCTATTAAATAGGAGTGTCAAATCCATTTCAGAGTCTTATTTCCATTAGACTTGTTCTATAAATATCTAAACATGAGTAAGTTGCAAGGAATAGAGAAAAGGCAAATAAATACAATTGAATGGATTGCTCTTTCACTTAAAGCAGCACAGAAACGATGGGCCGAATGGTCCTCTGTTCTGTAAATTTTCTATGGTTAGGATTTTCAACAAAGATCCCACATGTTTCCAAGAAAATAGGCTGCGTTGTTGACAGCCTTCTTTACATTGTTCAATGAAGAATTATATGGGATGCCATGAGGGAATACCCACTTCTTGAAAAACAACCAGAAACTGGTTTACATTTCAGACAGGGTAGACTTCTCCTTACTTGTTCCACTTCTGAAATATTGATGAGAGCACATTTCTGAAGACTCTCCACCAGCCTGAATCCCACAACGAGGAAAAATCTGCCAAGTATTTGCTTTATGGAACTGAATCAGGATGGGCTGGTGATCTACGTTCCCTCTAATTTTTTTCAGTCATGAATGAATTTGGGTTTGTGCACCGAAATAATGGCTGTTTGCGCTGCCATAAAGTAAAATAATGGATGATTGTATTAAGGCGAGCTGTCAAGGATTTTTAATTAAACAAAACTGGTTATAGAAATTTCAGAAGTAAACACTGCCGCCCCGGTTGCTGCTTAGTGGACATGAGTGGAGAGACAGGGATCTGATCCCTGCCCCTTTGCAGGAATTGTATAGAGTGAGAGAAATGGAAAGAGAAAAATGCCTTTCCATCCTCCTGAAAGACTGCCTTTTAAATCAATTTGAAATGAGTCATGAAATTCATACTTTTGTTCATTTCCCAACATTTTGGGTGATTTATTAAGTGATCTCACAGCTACAATATGTAAAAGCCCGGTGTGTAGCTTTGGAAGGTGAGAGCTGCATTAGGCATTGTGTTCACTGCTGATGAGGGGAAATAATGAAAACAAATGTTTAATTAAATTTTGTGCATTTTCAACACTTTAGCATATAAAGATGGTCAAAACTACCTATTTGCAGCAATTATTAAAGTAATAGATTTATTTTACAGTCTATCGGTATTTATTGGTTTCTGCAATTTTAATTTCAGTAAATTCTGAGGCATCTTAGAAGCTGAGATTCTATAATAATCCTTGCATTTGTTATAGCGCTTTTCACGTCTTCTAGATGTCTCAAAGCGCTTCACAGAATATATTGTAAAGTGAATTGACTATTGTTGTGGGTGAAACATGGCAGCAGATTGCGCACAATATCCCACAAACAGTCGTGGATTGAAAATGACCAATTTTATTATTGTTTTGTTTTTTGGAGGGATCATTATAAGATGTGTGGAGTAAGGAAACTTGCCCAAGGTTTCCCCCTGCCTGGAATTGAACCCAGGTGCCTTGCTTGCAAGGCGAGCGCTCTAATCACTGAGCTACAGGACTCCATGGTGGTGCTCTAACCACTGACCTACAGGATTCTAGTGAATCTCTTGAGTAAAAAGTGGCAAAAATGCTTGCTTATTTACATTGCCAATGTTGGTTTAGCTTTTTTTTGGCAAGAATATTGGGAGGATTATACAGACCTTGGTCACAGACATAATCCATTTTATTACATGTATCTGATTTAGTCTTTACACCAATTTGGTGGATCTGTGATCTATTATTTGCCCACCACTGAAGCCACAGTAATGGCAAACAACGCAGACTAAATAAACAAGCTGATAAAAAAAACTGATAAAAACCCAATTTACAGTGACTAAATGAAACAATGCATGGGTAATGTAATAAAAAGACTGCTTCACTAGCGGAACTCTCAGACGTCTGCAGTAAAGCTTTATTTTCAGCTAATGTTTGATGGAATTTTATGGTTACTGAAGCTTTTTGACATTGCATATCTATGTAGCTACAGAAACTTTAATTTAATTAACATGACAGTATGTTATTGCCGAGCTGACAGTCTACATAAACGAAAATGTCTCTCTCAAAAGATCAGGTTTTTATCTTAAAGTATTAGCTGACTTTGTGAACTTGGACACAACACAATTGGTAACCTGCCTACCTGAGCCACTTTCTGATACACATCTACCAAGCCAGACCAATTTCTGTGTCCTTCCTTGTATTTTCAGTTTGTTAATTCTTCAAACTATGTCCTTTATTTGAAGGATGTTGGAAAGTGGAGAGTAATTGTTCACTATGTGTGTGGCTGGAATGATTAAGTGTGCAGCTTAGCGGGAACAGTGCTGGTGGTGTATGTATTGGGGGTTTGTCTTCATTGTTCTATTTGGATGAATGTCATTGCATACACTGCCTCATATTTGCAGCCGTTAGTTCCATTCACTGCCCAAGTTGAGTAACTGGCTTACAATACACCAATAAACAAAAATTTACATTTATATAGTGCCTTTCATGTCAGAAGGATGAACAACAATAAAATCATTAATTTGCTTCACGTCTGTTTGAGGGATATTGTTGTGCACAAATTAGTGTTTACCTATAAATAGTCACTATACTAAGTTTACAGACCTCTCAAAGCACTGAAGCACTTTGAGAGGTCCTTTCGATGTGAAAGGCACTATATCAAATACAAGTATTACAGCTAATTTGTGTATAAATTCGCTTTTACATTTAGATTTTTGCAGTTATTAAAAGCTGAGACAATTCCAGGTAACAGAACTCCACCTTGTACTGGCATCCAGCAATTCGACATTAGGTGTTGAAACTTTCTGTGAATCCTATGATACTTGCAATTGATATCACTTATCACGTTGTAAGAACAATTCACTATCACTTGACAGATTATAAAATAAAGTAATGCATCCGTCTATTTTGGGGGCAAATGTGCAGCCAATTTGCCCAGCCATGTCCCACAAACAGACATATGACCAGTTTGATTTGGGGGATTGATGGCCAGTAGGCAGGAGAAACTCCCTTTTCTTTTCAAAGGGTGCCGGTTTAATATCTCTCCGAAGGATGGCATCTGACAATGCAGTATTCCCCCAACACTGCACTGGAGTGTCAACCCAGACTAAGCTCAGGGTGCTAATGTGGGGCCAGAACCCACAACCTTCTGACTCGGAGGCAAGTGTGTTGCCAAGTGAGCCAGACTAACACTCATTAACTGCACTAATGTTAAGATTTCTGTTTTTCAGCTCTACCAATGAGACAACATCATAACAACTAAAGTGCTGTGGATCCATACCTCAATCTCTAGGCAAAGGTTAATCTAATTTCATATAGTACCACTGTAGTCAGGGCTGAGAGCCTTTTCTCCCACTAGTGCAGGTTGTAGAGGTGAAAAGGGACATCATACTACCCAATAATTAACATCCTGGGAATTGATCTATTTTCAGTGACACCTTTCTCAACGTCAAACTGATGTATGTGTGAAGCCATTAGTATTATAGTGCAAATTTCAGTTGAACACGTGCAAGAAACAGGCAAGGAAAGCAATTGATGAATTTAAGTCAAAGACCAATAGGAAAGAAGAATAGTCTCAACTGGAACTTTATTTTCACAGTCATCATGTGTTCTGTAAGAATCTAAATTACAAAATTTAGTACAAGACATGGAAGACATATAGGTACATTAATCAAAGTATTCTGAACAAAAGGTGAAGGCATGCTCTCGAGTGCAATTGACAAGTAACCATATTCTATAGGATACCATTATACTCAACATTTTTACGGTCTAACCAAATAGCAGTTAAAACTTTGCAGTACTTTCTTTTTACGAATCACACAGCAGTCATATTTCTGGAATTCAATCCTCAGCAGTATTAAAAACATACAAACTGCCATAGAAATTCTACAAGTTATCTTGAAATGGTTACTATTATTAAGGCATTTATTCTTAAATCAGAAATCTTTTAGCCGTTTTGAAGTAACACGTCTTTAAAAAAAAGCCGATTTTTATTCTGCCATGCCATAGATTACTTTCATTTCTTCCACTTTAGCGATGTACAACTTCATAGCCTCCTCTTTACTTGTTCCTATTAAGAAGGAGTCACAGGAGTCAGTAAACACGACAGCTGCCCTGTGTGATTTGGGACTCAAGCTTTCAGGCAGCTAATTAAAAGGATTTTCAGTTTTCAAAAACACTTCCAGAAATCACACCAAGTTTTGGATTCGTGAAGCAAACCATATCAGTTAGTTCGCATTAAATTGACAAACTTTTCAGACCAGTGTTATCCAGAGATACGAATATAATTTGGTGAATTCAGTGCTCTGCCAACTTCTTTCCTTGCTCTCTGTAAAAGTCTAGGGAATTTGTTATGGAAACTGGATATGGAATATGGAACCTGCTTCCTAACAAGTAGAACTGCACTATTATAGTGCAACCTTTTAACACACTATTTTCCTAAATGTTTCTTTCCATAAGCAGTGTCACAATCTAAAGTGCCAATTGAATGAGGGGTTCAGGATACAGAGAATTAGGCACAGATTACTCTGCAGTGAAGTCTTGAGGATGGCCCTCAGGTAGACAGGTTGTAGTGGTGGCACTCCAAAAAAATACTGGTCCACGGAACAAGTGATAGGAGAGCAGCAATTTACCAGAAATAATTTACACAACTCACAAAAATATTCTTGCATGAACATGTATTTGCTGCAATATATTACCGAATGGATCATCATTGCCAGTTTACATTGTTTAAGGAAAATAAATTGTCACTTGGTATGGGAAATAAATCTGTGTGTGTATCAGTTAATAACCTTCATCTCTGCTATGCTTTAATAATCAAGAAATGCACACCAACCTTTGAGTTTAGACCACGCATCCCACTTGGCCTTTCCTTTAAAATCCAACATTCCAGGACGCTCTGAAAATTAGATAATAATAATAATCCTTGCATTTGATATAGCGCTTTCCATGTCTTCTAGATGTCTCAAAGCACTTCACAGAATATGCTGTAAAGTAAATTGACTGTATATTTGTGGGCAAAATGTGCATTGAAAATGGCCAATTTTTTTTAAATTTATTTTTATTTATTATTTTTTAAAATTATTATTGTTTTGTTTTTTGGAGGGATTATTATTAGGCATGTGGAGTAAGGAAACTTGCCCAGGGTTTTGCCATCATGAGGTGAAAGGCCAATTTGATTTTATTATAATAATAATTTATAATAGTTCATGATTACAAAAAAGACAAGCATTTACAATGTTATTGTTATCTGAGTAACAGACCTGTGTTTACATCCCCAACAGTTGCTTGTTTGTACAGACTGTAGATGGCTAACATTTCTTCATCAGTAGGTACAGTCGTAAGGTGTTTAACTTCTTCAGCTGCCTTCTGAAAAGCAATCTAGAACAGAAAAATCAAAATCAGATTATTAAAGTTCACAGCTGCTTGGAATAATGACAATAGCACTGATGGTGTTGATTAACATTGTCCTTCAGTACAGCAATGGAAATGGAACTTTGCTGTGGCCAAAGAGCAGGGTAGACAGTACAATTATTGTAATACTAACACAGCTGGGAAATGCACTGGACAAATAAAGGAAGTCGGATAAACTTCTCTCCCAAAAGAGCACAGGTAAAATAGTTGGTTTAAGTAAATGCCAGGTATGAATTACAGTTGTAGTAAATTGGTAATATAAGATGTCCAAGCTTGAACATGATGCTCTGCTTTTAATATCCATTCAAGTAGCACTTTGAGAGGCAGATTCTAACTTGACAGCTATGTAAACCCACTTCAGACATTTGTAGACTATCCACAGCCCACCCTTCAGTGGATAGCCTTGTGAATACAGCTGACAGGTCCCCATCTGGCTGACTGAACATTTATTCTTCTATGAGCTACATGCTCCTTGTTCTAATATAATTTGGTGTGTGTGTGTGTGAATGGGGGGGGGGGGGGGGAAGAGAAAGGAAACCATTACAAGAAAATGTTTAAAACAAAAAGTCGTGGTTTAATTTTCTCAGGCTATTTACTTTCAAATCACCACATTGCATTTATGTTGCAGTGGATTCATATTTAAATGCTCTTGAAGCTCATCTTCCAATATGTGTCAGGAGCTATGATCTTGCTTCATTGGTGATATATTCACTTCATTGTACTCCATGCACAGTAAACTCCTGATAACAAGACCCTGGCTTAGCTTGTCACTACCACTTTTGTTGCTATGCTGTCCTATGTAAAATGTTAATAAGGGACTCCGCTTTACTTGTCATTCTGCTTAACATATAACTAGTCATATTCTAAAATTTGCCAATAGCAACAACTCGCTTTTATATTTGTACCTTTCACGTTGGACAACTTCACAAACACCCAGGAAGGGAGGAGCTATCCTCGCTGTGTGCTCTTGCTATCCATTGGTAACAGCTGAAAGCAATCGTCTGATTTCAAGGGCAATGGAAAGCTGATTTTTTTAACATCAATGAATCAGTGGCAATAAAACAGGATGACAGCGATTTCAATCTCTACAACCAACATAGTGGCAATGTAACACTTCAGTTAATAATGGATCATTCACATCACAGCTGTTTGTGGGACATCGTTATATGCACAAATCAGCCTCCCTCCCGGGAGCAGAATCAGCCCCGAACCATTTCCTGGTTCATTACACAGCAAAGCTTTCTGCCGATCAGTGGGAGCGTCAGCGGCAAACAGAGGTCTGTCTGTGTCCGCGCCGGAGAAGCTAAACCAGGGCTCAGCCCGGAGCCTCCCACCTCCATCCTGCCGTGCCGGGCCGGACTGTGCAGGGCTGTGCCGGGCCGGACTGTGCCGTGCGGGGCCGGACTGTGCCGGGCCGGACTGTGCCGTGCCGTGCGGGGCCGGGCTGTGCCGGGCGGGGTTGCGCTGTGCAGGGCTGTGCCGGGCGGGGTTGCGCTGTGCCGGGCTGTGCCGTGCGGGGCCGGGCTGTGCCGGGCCGGACTGTGCCGTGCCGTGCGGGGCCGGGCTGTGCCGAGCGGGGCTGCGCTGTGCAGGGCTGTGCCGAGCGGGGTTGCGCTGTGCAGGGCTGTGCTGGGCCGGGCTGTGCCGGGCGGGGCTGCGCGGTGCGGGGCTGTGCCGGGCGGGGCTGCGCGGTGCGGGGCTGTGCCGGGCGGGGCTGCGCGGTGCGGGGCTGCGCGGTGCCGGGCGGGGCTGCGCGGTGCGGGGCTGTGCCGGGCGGGGCTGCGCGGTGCGGGGCTGCGCGGTGCCGGGCTGCGCGGTGCCGGGCGGGGCTGCGCGGTGCGGGGCTGTGTGGGGCTGTGCCGGGCGGGGCTGCGCGGTGCGGGGCTGTGCCGGGCGGGGCTGCGCGGTGCGGGGCTGCGCGGTGCCGGGCTGCGCGGTGCCGGGCGGGGCTGCGCGGTGCGGGGCTGTGTGGGGCTGTGCCGGGCGGGGTTGCGCGGTGCGGGGCCGTGTTAGCTCAACCCTTCCGGGTTCCGGAAGCAGACCGCACCGGCCTCGGTTACACCCACCCGTTTATAACACAATAAAATCACTTTCCCTGTAAACGAGCAGCGCCATTGCCCCAATACCTCGGTCATGGTCCCCAGATCGATGGCTGCACTTATTTTTTAAAAGAATAATATCGTTTCAGAATCGCAGAAAAGAGCAAATGGCTGCGATGGCGCCTCAGCCGCTGTTTATGTAGCTCCCGCTCCCGCCCCTCGTGCGTCATTGGCCCATTGGCCGCACTCCCGCACCAACAGCGGTGTGAAGCTGCCGGGGGCTGTGGCGGGATGTCGGGGCGGTGGGACTCACTGGTGCCGCCGCCGGTGGTGCGATCCGACATTGGCTAATGGCTGCACTGTGTGCAGCACCGCCCCCCCCTCGGGGCCGGATATCTGTGCATTAAAACTGGAGTAAATCGTCCGATCTGAAGAGGGAAATGCACCAATTTTGCAACAGTCCAACAGCGAATCCACGCGCATCACATCTAAGCGCACGTTACCAGGAAAACAAAACCCTCAATGGTTTATTTTTGGTCTCAGTGTAAACAGAGCGGTAACGGTTTCAGTTGATTTATTAAAACCAAGTCCGGGGTTCCAGACCATCGCACAGTCACCTGGAGAGCCGCAGCCCGGACAGCGGGAAGCCATTCAGCTCAAACTATCAGCTGATTTAAACATAAGCGAGTTGTCAATGACAGCCACAGGGAAGGCCACTCGGTCCATCAGCTCTGTACTAATGCTCCACGAGAGACGTGGTATTTCTGCCTATATTTTGGGTAAATATATTTATAAATACAGCGCATTATTTATACTTATTCAATTGCCTTTTTGTTATTCAATTTCACAGGTGCCAAAACATCCATGTTGTAGTCACCCCCCCAGCAAACTCTCTCTCTCACTCACTCCCACACACTCACTCTCACACACACGCTCACTCTCACCCTCTCACTCACTCTCTTTCACACACGCTCACTCACTGACTCACTCTCTCACTCACACTCTCTCACTCACTCCCACTCTCTCACTCATTCTCACTCACTCTCTCCCACTCTCACTCCCACACACGCTCACACTCACTCCCGCTCACATTCACTCACTCTCCCACTCTCTCTCACACACACTCACTCTCTCACTCACCCTCTCACTCACTGACTCACTCTCACACACACACGTGCGCTGGTGACGTTGTGACTATAATGGCGGCGGCGTCACTTCCCATCCACACAAACAGCCTCCGCTGACATCTCGCGAGGCTTGGGGTGCGCGGCGGGCGCTCTGACGTCACTGCACGGCTCATGGCGGCGGAGGAGGTGACGCTGACCGTGCGGCTGGTCCGCTCCTTCCAGCACCGCAACTTCAGGCCCGTGGTTTATCACCGCGTCAATATCAATCAGACCGTGAAGCGATTCCTCAGCTTCCTGCAGAATGGTGAGTCCCTGGTCAGTGAGTGGCGCCTATTGCCAGCCAGTGTAAGGCACCTAACTGGTGCCTGGCCAGTTTGTGGCAGCCATTGCCCTAACCCTTGTGTGTGTGTGAGAGAGAGAGAGAGAGACTGCCACCGTCAAGCGCTCCAGAGCGCTGCCCCGCGTGAAGGGCCCTACATAAATATAAAAGTTGTTGTTGTGCGTGACACCTATTGCCCAGCTCTCCCTCGTGAGTGTATGTGTTGAGTATTGCCTGTTTCATTTCTCTGATTTGCAAGTATATCTCATATATATTTTGTTTAGGTTAGTGTTTGCTTTGCATACAGTATTCAGAAATTTATTTTCTTTATGCAGATATAACGTTACGAACCGAACTTCCACTGCCATTTAAGAAATACATCTATGGTAAGCCTTAACATTTAAATAGTGCAAACTTTACATTTGTTTATGGTTGTCCCGTATAACAATTGGTAATATGACTAGAGCAGTTCTTCTATGTACACATTTGATTCAATTTTTTAAATTGTTTTTTAATTGTTAATTAAGAGTAACCTGTATATTGCAAAATGTTTGTTGATGGAATAAAACAGAAATCAGGGTCACCAACTTTCCATGATGAATAAGTTACCTTTCCTTTTGTCTTCAGACACGTTGAAGATTATTCACCAGGCACACGGGGCGAAGGTACATTATAAAAGTTAAATGTAATCCAAATCTAATTTGGACATTTAGATAACATTCACATGTTTTACTATTATAGATTTTCCTCAAAATCTCTCAAATATAATGCAGTGACTTTTGCCCCCTTATGGATCAAATTTATGTCACCCATTGCCTTTTTTTAAGCAATCTTTTATCTTAAAAAAAACTACGATTTGCATGCCCCAGGGAGTTCCCTTGTCCTGCAATACCTTGATCTGTTCTGATATTGTTCAACTAAGTGGAGAATATACAGAGCTCTGTGGAGGAGTTCTGTATAAATTAATCATTTTTTTAATTACATAAATCATGAATAAAACATTGATAAAATAGCTTTGTGCTGAAAACTGCAGAAACATCTGTATAAATTAAAAATATCCATCAAAACAGAATCACATTTCTATTCTTATAGACAAATGAACTTGTAATGAGTTTGGAAGATGATGATCAGTTGATGTTAAAGGAGGATAGCACTTTGAAAGCAGCAGGAGTGGGTAAGTGATTGAGAATTATTTAGTTCTTTGTACAAAATATCTAATTTAGAATTGAATAAATGAAATCCATTTTCCAGTTAAATCAGTTTTTAGGGAAAAATTGAGTGTAGGGTGTTTCTGCAGACTTAATAATTATTATAATGATCCTTGTATTTGTTATATTGCCTTTCAAATCGGGACGATGTCCCAAGCACTTCACAGGATTTACAGTGAAGTGCAGAAACTGTAATTATGAGCAAATGCAACAGCCAATTTATGCACTAAAATGGCCCACAAACAGCTATGAAATGAATAACTGATTTCATTTGGGAGATTTGGGGCTAAGACAGTGGGAGATATTTGCTTCTCTTTGAATAGTGCCATGGGATCATTACCGTCCTTCTGAACAGGCAGACATGACCTCACTTTAATGTCTCAACCAAAGGATGGCACCTCCAGTACTGCAACATCACCCAGCACTGCATTGGAGTGTCAACTTGGACTATATGAGTTCAAGTCCTGATATGGGGATTGAACCCACAATCTTCTGGCCCAGAGGCATGTGTGCTATCAATGAGCCAGGCTGAATGTAGAATAATTTAAACCCATCTTTACTTGTTTGTATGCGTATAGGTCATAGTAGGAAGCAAAAGCCAAACAAACACTTTTTAAATGGATTACAGGCTTGGTCCCAATAACTCAGTTGGTAAATGCCCTTTGTGATGTAATATTGAGGCTTGCAGACCTGATGTAATCCTTCATCTGTGTTAAATCATTTTAGGGAGTGGGAATACTACATTTAATCTTTAATCCCAAGTGAGGGAGAGAAAAAACTGCCTATTCCTAATATGGATTATTATTCAGTGATCCCGTGCTTGAACATATCTCCAAGTGAGTGATTATCTGAAAATGGAAGGTTTAGTTTGCAATAATGGTTCCCACAGATGAATAGCTGTCTAGTTTTCAGTCATTACCCTCCCACCCACTTTGGCTCCCACCTCAGCCTGCAGTGTTGAGCGCTTTGAGACACCATCCCAGTGTGGAAGGCTATATAAAATATGTGTATGACTCGTCATATCATGAGGTACTGGAAGATTGTTCATTGTGAAAACATACCTCAACATCACAAATTTAGGAAGAGGGAAGAAAACAACATCTTGGTTTTAAATCCCTGAGTTGTCTCTGGGAATTGCAGAAGATTTGAGCTGTGGATATTCATCAAATGTAGGTCTCCACAGTAAATTAGGGTTAATTTTGCTGAAAATGAGTTTTAAATGAACTTGTCAATCCAGAATGGTATAGAGTTATGGCTTTCAGATTGCTTTATAGAAAATAGCTCACAACACCACAATATTCTCAAGTCCTATTGATCTTTAGTTCTTGATTGAGCCATTTGTCTTAACTGTGTATTTTAGTTAGCATTGTCCAATTTCTGTATGTAGTGTTGGGATTTCCGATCCCGAGGTTCAAATAATGACCCGACAATCCAATTAAGGTGTAATAGAGGACATCTTGATTCTCCCTTCCAAGGCCGGAGCCTGTCTCTGTCTGGTAGAAACATTTCATCTAATCGGCATGTGTTCACAGAATACTGAGTAGCTTCACTTAGGTGCACCCATGGAATGCAGATTTCTTGGGCCCTTATTGAAGCCCGTTCTATGCCCATCTCACCATCACAACTGACTTGACCATTGGCCTTTCAGAACCAGGATGGTTTATTCTGCCAATTCCTAAAATGTTAGAACAATTTATTTCTCCCGTTTCCTACCGCCATGCATATATGGATATTGATATACACACCTATATGAATTGGACTTTGATTTTCTAAATTGCTAAACTGTTAAATGAAACCAAGGTTTCATATAGTGTTGTGAAGGGTTTATAGTTTACTACATCTTTCCTTTTTTGATTTTGCAGCTCATGAAACAGAACTGGCTTATTTTAAGAAAGAAGATTACGAAAAGTACAAAGCCAACCCCACAGTGGCCTGGTGACAAGACAAATAAGATTATGTTAAATTATTTTTAATGAGGTTATGTGACACATTCTGCATGGAAATAGAATGAACAGAGCTCATCTTCATAAACAACATAAAGGAACGTCAGCAGTTTTAAACTTTAAAACAATACTATTTATTTGAAAGTTCTAATGATGCACTAAGTGTATCTTTGTGTGACATCACTATGCTTCTGATCTTTGCCATTAAAGGAGATGTTGAGTGGCAACTAAGTGTTTTCTGAAAGACAAAAGAACAAGTCACCTCTTAGTGACTGGTTACAAAGTAGTATTGACAGGCCAACTATCAGATCTGCTTTTTTCACTGAGGAACTGATGGGAAAGGATTCCATTAGTTAGAGGAAATAATGAATGGGTATCAATTGGGATTTTAAACTTTTGTCTCCAACTTCAGTAAAATAGAAAAGCTAGAGATCACACTGATGTGCTGCTCTAGCCCTTCCCTCGCAAGTGAGAGGACCTGGGTTCAAATCCAGGCAAGGTGATTTGATTACCTAGCAGTAAGTAGAAACCCGGTTGTTCATCAATTAGCGGATCGCTTTTCCAGGGTTACTAATTCCTTCAAAATAAATAATAATAATTTGGTCACTCAATCCACAACTGTTTGTAGGATACTGCTGTGCAATTAGTTACCATATTTCGCCCACCAAAATATACAGTCAATTTACAGTGTATTCTGTGAAGCGCTTTGAGTGTCTCAAAGATGCAATATCAAATGTAAGGATTATTATTATAATATTTTAAATTGAAAAGCTTTGTTGTACAGATTTTCAAATTTTCAATAATTTATAATAATACTTACTTGCATTTGAACATATTGTCTGTCTCAAAAGTGCCTCACAGAATTTACTGTGAAGTGCAGTGATTTTGTACTTCAAAGGTGACCAAGACAGCTAATTTTCATAGAGCAACTAGTCATGAAGTGAATGAACTATTTTACGTGGGAGATGTTGGCCAGGAGAATGAAAGAAACTCATTTTTTTTGGATAGTGCCATGGGATCTTTAATGTCCACCAGATAGGCAGATGGGAAGTTGGTTTAACTCTTATCCAAAGTCCACCACCTCTGACACTCCACAGGAGTCAGCCTATACTGTGATCTTCAAGTCCCGATGTGGGGTTGAACTCGCAAACTTCTGACTCAGAGGTGAGGGTGTTACCAACTAAGCCACACATACATCCATTTGCTCCTTCCCTCAACCCATTTGGAGTTTAATGCTAGTGTATTTCTGAGAATATTATCCAGGGAAGATTTAGTCTGCTTTTTCTTTTCCTGATAGCAATACATCTATGGTTGGGATTAAAGTAGAGTAACAATTGTTTTATATGAATATTCTATCTTCTCCCTCCCCTCATACTAGAATATCAACAGAGGGAAAGGATTATCAGAACAAAACTAGATTTAATTATCAATTCTTACCTTTAACCAAAATGTCTAGAATAAACATTGTTTAATTGAATAATCTACAGTCCAGTATAAGCAATAAGCAAGGAAAACCAATTTGTTACAGAAGAAGCTTTATTCAATTTACAATATAAAATCTCTTTACAATATGTATGTTGTTGATTTCACATTTTAAAATAAACTTTGTGAAATTTATGCATGAATTTATGTATATTACAATTGTAAAAAGCATACACCTTACCTTTACAGGCAATGGCATTTTTTGAAAAGTGCCTAATCTGATCAGTAGTAAATATGAACCTTCAGTGTCAATATGTGTTCAAATACAGGATAAGATGCCAAAACCTTGAACAGTAAAGCTTGCATGCCAAATTTATGGGACCATATTAACTATTATTAGTCAAATTATTTAACTACTGTACTTACACATAATGCTGGTGAAGTTATTTACACAAAATACTACTGAATAGTTGCATTGACCAAAATATTCTTCAATATTAATGAAACAAAAAGTTACAAAGAGGCTGAAGTGTGTTTGAATGCAGGATCATACTGGGAATATTCTGATGTAAATGGGTGACATTTAAGCATTTTGTAATGAAAAATGTAATATGCTTTTGTAATACTCTTAAAGTATGTCCTCTAATAATGTGAGTGAACATGATATTATTCTGTTCTTATCAAATTTTGTCTTTGCCACTGATTGATGCCACATAAATCAAATCATAAGATATGAATGAGGTGAAATGCTACTCAACATATTCGAATGGTTATGATATGCGGGGGTGGGGTAGAGTATTTCACTAAATGTATATTAGATGATAGTGGTGCAAGAGTGATTTAGTTGTGTAAGATTAATATCTTAAACCTATTTCAAGCTTTGCCCTTATGGTTTATAAATGTCAACATTTGGATTAGTACATAAAGTCATTGCCAGCTAGAAGTGCTATACATTTACTTTTTAAAGCTGTAGTTAATTCTGTAAATTTGAATGTTGAAACTTGACTCCTGTTACTTTAACTTCAATGTAACTAGGCTCTGAGTTCAACTTGAAAAATATAATTTCTATGTCATAAAAAGTCAAGTGAACAGATATCTTAAATATTTCTGCAAAAGCGGCAAGCAAAATTGAAATATGCTGCATTTGCTGAATTCGAAGGCAACTACACTGAAAGAAATTATGAGCAATTTATTCCAATAAGAAAAGCAGCAGTATGATAACTAAAAGAATGAACAGCACAATTATAAAAGAAATGGCCTGAAATAATTCTCTAAGAGGCAAGGCTGGTTGAAGACAGAACGTGGCTGGATGATTGTGTTAGAGACAGTTTCCTCCTTCCCCAGAGACTGATTGGGAAGTGAGGAGGTTATTTTATCTCATAGCCCTAGAGATTGACCTGCTTTACATGCAACGAGAAAAAAAATAGTGATTCTGCAAAACTTGTAAATTTTATGATTAATTGAAAATAATTTTCCCCCAAGACTTAATGAAACAAAGTCTTACTATTGATTTAAAAAAAGCTTCTTCCTAAATGCAAAGAAAAATAGAAAACCCACATTCAGCTCCAGCAGTACTAGCTTGTTGAACAGATTTGAAGAGACTTCGAACAGTACAAGTGGAACCTCGATTTTCTGTCAGAATCAACTTATATGAGTTTTACTGTATTGAGCATCAAATAGAGAAAAGTGATTTAAAGATATAACTGGACACAGTCAAAACACTATAGGTCGAGGACAATTTTGAAGGTAGGGAGAGAGATTGTAAAACAAATTGGTCTTCAAAGAGAGTTTCAGGGGAAAAGAGAATGGTGACTTTCAGATCTGCCACTATTAGTGAAGCAGGTAGTGAGCAAGAGAAATTTGGAAAAAAACAGGGTACAGGCAAGAAAATAGGTTGAAATAGGATGCAACAAGATCATTGGAGAGATCTCAAAGCCAGGATTTTTTTGATAATCTAAGGTTATTATGGTTAAACCTAAGAAACTGAGCCTAGTGCTTGCTGGTGGTTAAATAAAAGTAAATTAGGTGCTGGATTTATGGAGGCACAGAATGTGTGTGTGTGTATATACACACATACATACATACACACGTGTGTTGTTGCTGTATAAGATGCTAAAATGCAATGTGCAGTTTTGGCCATCAAATCGTGAGAAGGATATTATTCTCGAATATACGGAGGTGAGTAAAAATGATGTAGGCATCTAACTTTCACTGAAAAGATGAGAAAGTTGTTTTCTTTCTAAAATTGGTTCATTTTGATTTGGAGGAAGCAAGGAAAAGTAAAATTACTTAACTATTATCAAGCACTTTATCAAGTCAAAGGTACTATATAAAAGTAATTTGTAATGTATATATTTTTTGAAAAAATTAGTGTTTCGATATATTGGAGGCAAATTGTATGCACTAATTCTCATGATGACTGTTAGTATTAATATATTACTCTTATAGCCTGCTGGTGTTATCTTGATTGAATTGGTTGGAATTGTCAGGTTCATGAAACCTTACTATATGATTTCTTTCCCATCCTCGTCTGATTCGTGTCAGTTTACGATTTACACAAGGAAGGTAAAGGTATACTTTGCCCAGAAGAACTATAATAGGCATAACAAGAGCAACTGCAAATGTAGGTGGCGTATAGAACCTGTACTGTGTTGGGTCGAAGGCTTTCTCCCACCCGTAGGTCAACGTATGAAGGGTGCTGAACACCAGTGCAGTGTATCCAAGTCTAGACTACAATGTAAAAAGCAATTGTTATTGACTTTCAATGTTGCCAGAACGAGTTGTGGAATTTTTTTCAATAGTAATGTTTTATACAGGATGCATTTAAATAAATTCAAGGAGTCCTGTAGCTCAGTGGTTAGAGCACTCGCTTTGCAAGTGAGAGACCCGAGTTCAATTCCAGGCAGAGGGCGAAACGTTAGGCAAGTTTCGTTACTCCACACACCTAATAATAATCCCTCCAAAAAAACAAAACAATAATAAATTGGTCATTTTCAATCTACGACTGTTTGTGGGGCACTGCTCACAAATATACAGTCAATTCACTTTACAGTATATTCTGTGAAGCGCTTTAGGACGTCTAGAAGATGTGAAAAGCGCTATATCAAATGCAAGGATTATTATTATAACATCTAGATCAGCATTTGTGCAGTTTCCTTGTAGACACATTACTACTGCATCCTCACATAGCAACATAATGTCTGTAATATCAATACATTTAATTTCTCCTGTCTTAATTCACTAATTGTAGTAATCTTATGATGCACTTTTAACATATTCTATTCGTTACAACTCATTACAAAATTAATGATGTTTATTTCCACAAGGGACATTAGATTCAGAAATGCAATTAAAATATGTTGACCAGAATAGCCATGAGCAAAATTCAATGAGTTTGTGGTTTCACATCTGAATTTCTATCCAATTAAGTTGCAAGTCGCAATGAGATTCTGCCAAGATTAGAGAACAACCTGACTGGTAAATTAGCAAAATCAGCCTCAGTTTTGAGATACCAGATCAAGATTTCAGTCTAAGCTTTTAATCCCTTCTGAACCAAAGAATTGTTTCAATTTTCTTTTCAACTTTAATTTGCGACACATATTTTTGAAGAAATCTTAATTAACATGAAATGCTGCTTACACCTCCATTTTTTACATTCACTTGTGATTAATTAGGTTGCATTCTTCTGCTAACGATGATGGATGTAAGAATACTACAATGGAAGCTATTATAATATGGGTTCACTTATAGGGTGATTTGGGTGTGTCTCTGACATTTTCTTACCCAAAAAATACAAAAGGGTGCACGGGCTTCATCAGTGCTTCAAGATACCGACCAGTGCCCAGGAAGCTAAAATGTCTGACTTCCAGGTCATCAGGTCATAATATCCCTTCCTTTATGCCCCCACCCCCCCACACACAATTACTGCATTATATTGGGATGCCACTCCTGAATTCATTCAGAAGTTGTAAGATAATAAAAAAACTGTCTTACTTGGATAAAGCTGAATTCTCTCCAGTTCAGGGAACCTGCCACTGATGGCAAGGAGGTCACAGCAATTAGTGAAAGGATACCAAGTGCCAGAATTCCAAAGGAAACATAAATTTCCATTCTCCATACTTCTTCCTCCACCCAGGCATTTTCGTTGCCAGCTTCAACCTGTTACAGCAGAAGCAAAGATGGGAGAGAACAGACTGGTTTAAAAGCATGGTGAGGTTGGGACATACGTCTTTCTCAATAATGCCTGCTGATTTTGTTAAGAATTTGAAGGAAAAGACTGAGTAAGAACGTTCTTGGTGTGATTTTACCTGCTGTGAGCTTCTGTCATCAGTGGCCTGTTCTCTGTACTAAAATGATAGATGCCAAATTAAGTAACAGCTGCTTTCAGCTATGAAAGCTGTATATAATAATAATCCTTGCATTTGATATAGTGCCTTATCATTTCTTTGAGATATTTCAAATATACTGTAAAGTAAGTTGACTTTATTTGACTATATTTTCTGGGCGAAACGCAGCAGCCAATTGTGCACAGCAGTGTCCCACAAACAGTTGCGGATTGAAAAAAAAATCTTGCACTAGCTTAAATTTGAATTAAACAGTCTCAAGTTTCATACCAAGTGAAACTTCAGGCTTCAGAGTGGAGGGGCCATGAAGCACCATTTACCCGGTCACCCACTCGGAGTGAGAGCAAGCGGCGGTGGCTAGAAGCAAGTTTCTTTTTTTGGCTGCATAGTTGAATGAAGGAGGTTGAGAGATACGGTGCAGCGTCAGAAATATTATCGCCCCCACCAATTATTTTTTGGGGGGAGAGAAGTTAGTTGAACTGAATATATTTTTTAATATGATGTATAACCAGGGCAAATGAAAGGTGTGGGCCACACCATCCTTCCTGCTCAGCTAATGAGAAAACATACAACTGAGTGCCAACAATGGAGATTAATTATTTAACAGTGCAATTGTTCATGCATAGGGGAATATGGATATGTTTGTTTAAAATGCTGTCATTTAGGGGTCATACATTATTTAGCTTGTCTCCAAGTATAGTGACTTTAACAATGTGCCATTTTAAATGCACCTTTAGTGGAGAGTGAAACATTTAGTTTTACAACTTTACATTTGAAACTCCGAGCATGCTAGTAGGATGATTTCTCTGAGGTTATACTTTTTTTTATGGTAACTTCACTTTGGCTAGAAATGAGAACCTTAGTTATCATTAAGCAATGTAGCAGTAGTAAAACATTCCTTCCTAGATGAAAAAGGCCCTCTAATCAAGATATTTCAAGCTCAATTTCTTCTTCTAACTTCAAAGTTGAAAACTGCAGCATATGTACTCAAATACTTATTGTGTGTTGAAACAAACGTGAATTATATACCGATCAGCAAATAATCTATGGTAACCAATCATCCAAGAACTCCAAGAAACATCATCAATACAGCAATTCTCTAATGAAACTGGCCACTTGGTGGTGTGCTTGTGTCTTTGAACCCAGCCAAAGTGGGGAGTTGTGCAGAAGCACACTGTTTACAGTTCAATGTTTCTCTTACCTGTTTAAAAGCTTCATTCAGCAGTTTGTAACGCGCAGATCTGCGCATAGGGAGGCAGAGGCTATAGACTGCATGTAAAGCACCAAAGAAAAAGCTTAGCAATCCAAGTTGTTTCCTTTGCTGAAGCCATTGATCTAACCAGTGTGGAAAACGCTTGTATTTTGTTCCATTGTGTAGTTGGAGGAAGGCTGCAAGGATTCCTGCTAGGTAAACGAAAGCCAACAACTCAAAGGCAACGCATGGCAGAGTGACATTGACAATTTCAATTGGGATTCTATAAAAATTATTTTGTCCTTTAGTTGTAAATGGATGAATAACCCCTCTAATAAAATTATAGATGTAGAAAAATACAAATAAGCCAAGTGACAGCAGAATGGGAATTTTCCATGAAGGAAAGAGGCATAATGGTAGATTCTCAATTTCGTGTGCAGATGATAATGAGCCCATGTCCATGGGAACAAATCCCATATTCCGTGCCATATCAGCCACCGTAGATCTAGCCTTTTGACTGTCACTGCAGATCATCACCTAGAGGAGAATGGGGTACTTTAGTGTGGTTTTGTTAGAGAAAATAGCAATTGTGATCACATAAAGCTAATAATAATCCTTGCATTTAACATAGTGCCTTATCACGTCTTCTAGATGAGTCAAAGCGCTTCACAGAATATACTGTAAAATCAATTGACTGTATATTTTGTGGGCCAAACGCAGCAGTTAATAGTGCACAGCAATGTCCCACAAACAGTTGTGCATTGAATGACCAAATTATTTTTATTTTGAAGGAATCATTACCCTCGGAAAAATGATCCATCAATTAGTCAACAACTGAGTTCCTACTTATTGATGAATAAATATGTGGTGTAAGGAAACTTGACCCCTGCTGGGAATTGAACCCAGGTCCTCTCAAAATTAAAACCTTCAGCAATGCTTCAATAATTGTGAAGGGAAACACTGACGCAATGATTGCTATGCACTGATTGCTATGTAAACTAGAACCATGTACTGTACACTGTCTACATCACCCTGTTATTTGCTGCAGAAAATAAGTAGTTACAGTATTTTTCTTTTTTTAAAAAATACTTATCATGAAAAGCTTTTACCCAATCCAGTACTATGTTAGTGTATTTATCCCTATGAGCATTTAGTCCCATTGGAAATCACCCTTGTCACACTGGCAACTTTTCTTTTAAACAAAATCACATATTGAAGAAAATTTGCTTTGCACTGTGTCATCTCAGAGATGCTCACCTGCTTATTTCCATCTCTTCCACCAGATTGTAAAGCCCAGGCTGAGACTACATTAAAACCTTTTACCACAGTCGATTCTGGGAACAGAAAGGCTAGATATTCAGCATTTGATTCTTCATACTCGTTGATCCGGATGTTGTTGCTGACATCCACTAAAATTTTCCCAGTCAGTACATCTCTCAGCTCACTCAGTGTGCTGTAATGTTCCCGGTATAGTGCTATGAAGATCACATTTACTCTTTCAATGGCATCTCGCTGATTTGTGACTTCAGCCACATTGGAAAATAAATGTGCTGTGGATTTCGGATGTCGACTTCCAACGATCACACTGTAACCGGAATTTTTCAGACGTGTTGCTAAAGAGCGAGCAAAGTCTCCACTTCCTAGAATTCCAACAGCTATTTTCTGTGGGTCATAGTGATGACTTTCATTCTCATTAGCCAACAGTGGTTTTGCCATTTCTTTCCCAGCCATTTTGTTTAGCTGGAAATAAAGGAAAGAAAAATTACAGTACTTACTGTAAACACCATTCAAGTATGTGTAGTACATAACTTTCTGTTCATGTTCAACATATGCAGTACAACTTAAAATAAATTGTTGATATCATACAATAATAATTATCTTTGCATTTGGTATAGCACCTCATCAAGTCTTCGAGACATCTCTAAGCGCTTCACAGAATATACTATAAAGTGATTTGACTATTTTTGTGAGTGAGTCCCACAAACATTTATGGATTCAGTGATCAAATTATTATTATATCTTTCAAAGGGATTATTACTTCCAGAAAAGCGATCTGCCAATCGACTAACAACCGGGTTCCTACTTACTGCTACGTAAACAGAGGCATGTGGAATAAGGAAACCTGCCCAACGTTTTGCCCTGCTGGGAATCAAACCAGGCTCCTCTTGCTTGCAAAGTGAGCGCTCTAGCCACTAAGCTACAGGACTCCACAATATTTATAGTCGGTCCACCCTCTCAAAAATACTAAAGTTCAAAATCCAACCATAAAGTCTCTGCTTCGGGGCTGGTTTGTGGATTTCTTCAAATGCTGATAAGCAGTGCTACAATAAAACAATGTATTCACTATGTATTTATGTACAAATATTAGTACATCATGGCTACATCTTAGCCAAAACAAATGATTGTTCTGCACCTTAGAAATTTGTGCTCTCAAATGTGGAAAGAATGACAAAACAAAGGTTTAGGTGTAGCCAACTTTTTTCAGCCAAGTATCAAACAATAATAATCCTTGGATTTGATATAGTGCCTTATCATGTCTTCTAGATGTTTCAAAGCGCTTCACAGAATATACTGTAAAGTGAATTGACTGTATATTTTGTGGGCAAAACATGGCAGCCAACTGCACCCAGTAGCATCCGACAAATAGTTGCGGATTGAGTGACCAAATTATCTTTATTTATTTTGAAGGAATTATTACCCCCGGAAAAGCGATCCGCCAATTGACTAACAACCGGGTTCCTACTTACTGCTAGGTAAACAGCGGCGTTTGGAGTAAGGAAACTTGCCCAATGTTTCACCCTGCAGGGAGTTGAACCCAGATCTTCTCGCTTGCTCTAACCGGTAAACTACAAAACTCCAGAATTTTTTTTTAAAAAACACATTTGGGTGCAAGATTAATTTTTTTTATAAATTGAATTTGTCTTGGATTTCAAGGGTCATATTTTATTGACTTAATCGACAGACAGTAACAACATTTGGAATTGGGCTATGTAAGTGTCATTTAAAAGAAAATGCATATTGGTCATAGAATTGGTCACACGCCTAATAATAATCCCTCCAAAAACAACAACAAAATTGGTCATTTTCAATCTACGACTGCTTGTGGGACATTGCTGTGCGCAATTGGCTGCCGCGTTCGCCCACAAATATACAGTCAATTCACTTTATAGTGTGTTCTGTGAAGCGCTTTGGGACGTCCTCCCGACGTGAAAAGCGCTATATCAAATGCAAGGATTATTATTATTATTATTAGAATATAAAATTGCAAAACCAAATCATGGAATTGAGTGGGAGGTAGGGTAGCGGAAGGAGAAGGGATGGATGGAAACTACATAGGTGGCTACAAAAAGCTTCCTCAGGCTTCAGGCATTTACCTTCTCATTGAATTATTTTCCTTTAAATACACTAAAACAATTAAAATCTTGATCATAAAAATTGCAAACTTTATCAAACACGTTACTTTGCCTCAGGCTTTACTAGGCTTAAAAACTTTAGACTTTGAATGGTATAGGTATGAGGGACACAAGACTCAAGTCTGCTTGCACAGCAGTTTACATTGAGCTGTAAAAGCTTTAGACTTTGTGAATCAAGAGCTACGAAGAAGGTTTATTTTTCCGTCTGATTGCAAAAGGTTTGAAAGTGGATTGTAATACAAAAAAGTGAGTAGAATATGAATTAGACAGTCTTAGTTGTGCCATCCTGTATAGTTTTGCAATGCTGGAATTTTGCTAGTTCCTATGCTTTCCGATGCAAAGATGCGGTAGGATTACCAAAATGTCAATAACTTTCTTAATTTAGGGTCAATCTTCATAAATCTGCTATGACTGTGTGAGATATACTCTGCTCTTTCATAATAAAGCAACTGACCTACAATTCATATGACAGTGACATCATCACAGGTCAAAGATCATAGAAAACATCAAAATTCAGTGTACTGTATAGCACTTTTATTATGAATGTATGAACATAATTAATAACATAAACAGTCAACTGTATTTATCAACAGTAACAATATTATTTTCTTGTTAGATATGAGAGCTAAACATAAAAGTAATGAATCTTCATTCATTGTCATAATCTGATTCATCGGAAGAAGAAACTGTCGTTTTCATCATCAGAATTACTTTCATCAGGAAATGACTTGTCATTACAGATATCCTGTGGGATTTGTTCACCTTCAAACTAATTGATCATGTATTTATGCACAGCCCAAGGGAAGACATTGAGGGAATTGATTGGAAGATACAAGTGGCATCAGTCCTAATTGTTGATTCTTATCAGTACGTCGGGGTCATGGTGGACACCAATGTCAGCCTGGATACTGTCCTGAAGGACTGCGCTGAGAAGGGGCGAAGGGCATTCTGGTCATGCTCATCCCTCTTCAAGGACAGTAAGGTCCCAATGCAGGTCAAGCTTGTGACATACAAGACCTGTATGTAAACAATCCTTCTTTAGGGATCTGAGCTCCTGGGGATGCAGGGAGAGGCTTCCTCCAACCATCTGCAAAGTCCAGTATCAAGCAGTGAGGTAGATTCCTGGCAAACATGGGAAGCGGCTGTAGTGAGGGATGGCTCCAGCCTACACTGACCTGTCTCTAAGCACTCTGGAGCCGGAGTTAGCTTCATAATGGGCATGAATATTTGCCAAGGCCACTCACATGAGGACCTGGATTGAGCAGTTGGTGCTGAGTTAGCCTGGTTCATAGCATTCAACTTTGACCTTGAGAACATCAGGGTGGTTGCAACGTCACAAGCTGTCCTGTAAAGGTCTTCTCACCATGCCGAAGGCAGATGACGCCAGAAAGATGATGAGGAAACTCTGAGGCTTGGGGCGAAAGTTGCTGGAAGGCATTTCAGTCAGTGAATACATGTTCATGCATCCAGCACCTGGAATACACCTCGATTGGCCTGCAGAGAGGCCAACGTCTGCTGCTTAAACTGTGCACCTCCAATTGGTGGAACCGTAGCTCAATGGGAAGGGATGTGTGCTCGAGCTGCAGAGAGGAAGATGGTGGCAATTCTCTCATGCATTTCATGCTCAGATGTGTTGCCCACCAGGAAGCTTGCAGAGATTTTCTGGTACCTAACATGCACTAGTGCATGGTAGGACACTGATTTAAAATAATTGTTAAAAGAAACAGAGAGGTGAGGAGAAGTTTTTTCACACAGCGAGTGGAATGCATTGCCTGAAAGGTTGGTGGAAGCCGATTCGATAACAACTTTTAAGAGAGAAGTGGGTAATTATTTGGGGAGGACAAGTTTGCAGGGCTATGGGGGGAGAGCAGCGGAGTGGAATTGATTTGGATAGCTCTTTTCAAAGAGCAGAGACACGATGGGCCAAATGGCCTCCTTCTGCGCTGTAGAATTCTATGATTCTACGATAGTGAGATCAAACCCACGCTTGTTTGATGTCGAATGACCAGTGGCTATCCTCCGTGGAGGGGAGGTAAGCTAACTGGTTCCAAGGTGACATATTTGGCAATGGAATGTCAGAATCAAGCCAGCCTGTGGTGGCTCGGAAGTCCAGATCCCGAGCCAGTTGAGTCCACGGTATTCCAGGGAACTGATCATGACAGCGCAGCCAGCCTGGCTCATCGGCAGAACCTGGAAGGGCAGGCGCGTCGCTGGGGGCAGGGAATCATTCCAATTTAGCTCCTGTTAACTCTGCAAGTCAAAGCACTGACGGATAGCGTGATCCCAGCTGGACGAGCAGTGGGAAAGCTTGCCGGACAAAAATAAAGAGATGTACTTGCCATCCAGTAGTTTCTATCCATACTAGAATGGATGAATCTGAACAGGTGAATGTAAGTCTGGTTTCTTCCACATACAGGTAGCACAATGCAACTGTTTGTTTTTTCAAAACTGAGTGTGCTACAAGCAGAAGGCTAGAGAATCAGTACCTTTTATCTTCTCCAGAGGTTTATTCTGATTTGTTGGAGCATACTTTTCCCTGAAATAGATAATTGCACTTCCTCAACTTTTCTGAGATTTGGCTTGCCACAAACAAACTCCTCTAACGTTTCTGTAAGCTGATCAATATTGTCCTACATTGTCCAGACCCACCATCTTCCCCCTTTTTTGTATTAAATTCCATCTTTAAACCTTTCGCATCTGAGAAAAATACCCCTCCCTAGCTCTTGGATTATTGTAGATAGATAGGAGTAACACAAGACTCAGGTCTGCTTGCACAGCTGTTTCCACAGAGCTGTAAAAGCTTTAGACTTTGAAGATAGATAGGAGCGACACAGCACGTCCACAGAACTGTTTGCTAAAAGAAACCTCTCTTGGCACACACACCAGGATGTAACACTACCTGCAATAGGTCACGTAGGTGTCCAAGCCGTGTTTCAGTTGGGTAACTTTTTCCATGAGTTGAAGATTTTAGGGCTCTTAGATTAAATTACTATCGAATAGCAGGACTGCTGTGATTCAAATGAATTCTGATACTGTGCAGGTGTTGGCTTTGCAACTGCCATTGCAAAATGTTACAGTCAGTTAAGAGGAAAGAGCTCAACCTGAAACAGCAGTTTTGCTGCTATGAAATGTGTGAGATATTTTCAATATATCGCAACATCTTTTTTTAAAACATTTAATTCATGAAGGAGGATTTTTTTGTCCTAGATGGCTAGACACAAGTGGCAAGAGGAAGGTTGACATCCATTTTTGGAAATAACCGTGATCTCAGTTTTCTTTTAAACACAATCTAGGCACGTTTAGGTGATGTGAGCTGTTGGATTCGAG